AGTTTTTAGTTGATGTTCAGAGTCTTTTTCAATCGCTGTTTAGCTTCATTTTCAGTCACTGTTTAAGTAACTTGAAGTCATTTTCAGCCACTGTTTAGTCTTCAGTTGAGTTATAGTTGTTTTCAGATGCGTTTAGTCGTTTTACTTTTCAGTCACTGTTTAAAGTAGTTGATGTTCAGGTGTTTTCCATCGTTACTTTGAGTTTGAGTCGCCGCTGAAAGTCATTCTCAGCCACTGTTTAGTTTCCAGTTCTGTTCATATTTGTTCTTCTTGGCTGTTTAAAGTCACTGAGTTGTTTTCAGTCACTCTTTAAAGTAGTTTTGTTTTTTTAAAGATATTTTTTTGGCCTTATTAGATAGAACAGTGGGGGATGACCTGCATCAAAGGGCTCTGAGCAAGACTCGAACCCTCGACCTCTGCATCAGGGACTATAGATGTACCTGAGACACCAGCTCAACCAGGTGAGCTATTGGAGCATCACTTAGAGCAGCTATTCAGAAGATTTTGTTTTCAATCGCTCGTTGTTTCCGTTCATTTTCAACCACTCTTCAGTTATGTTTATGGTTGTTTTTAGTTGCTTTTTAAGGTATTTTTTGTTTTCAGATGTGTTTAGTCGTTTTACTTTTGTTTTCAGTCACTGTTTAAAGTAGTTGATGTTCAGTTGTTTTCAATCATTTCTTGAATTTTTAGTTATGGTTTAAAGTCATTTTCAGCCACTGTTTAATTTCCAGTTGCTGTTACAAGCTGTTTGCAGGTACCCCTATAGCTCACCTGGTTGAGCAGGTGAGCCATGAACAGGGGCTACAGTCCCACATGCAGCGGTCGTGGGTTTGAATCCCGCTCACAACCCTTAGCTGCAGGTCTCGTGATGTTTCTAGTTGTTTTCAGTCACTGTTTAAAGCAGTTTTCAGTCATTTTAGTTTTTAGCGTAAAGTTGCTCTCGGTTGTTTTCCAGACATGCTGGAAAAATAAATGCACATTANAGATTAGATTAGGTAGAACTGTATCGATCCCGTTGGTAGGGTTCCTCAGGGAAATGGTTGAGTCAGCTGGGAGATGCTCCCTCGTGACCCTCGTGAGGATTAAGCGGTGGATAGATAATGGATGGATCTACGTTTTCAAAAAAGTCTTCGTTCACACAAGCCAGCATAAACTCCAGAGCTGCTACGAGCTGCCAGACCTGTAGGGGGCAGTGTAGCAACACGCATAACGCCATGCTAGCCAATCAGAATCCTGGAAAAAAACATGAATGGCACGAATTACTTCCTGTTACTTCAACGATAACGGTGCGAGGGTCAACCGACAGAGAGCTGCTCCTGAATGTGGTGTTAGAGGACGAAACCAGTAAAATACTTGAAAATACTGACTTTCCATTACAGCAGCCAAACTGTAAACGTGGTCGCACACTGATGACGCTGTTGTCGCACACTGATGATGTCAGACTCCGCCTCCTCTGGTCTACATGCAAAGACGGAGTTTTTCCAAATCTCCCCTTTAAGAATTCAGATTTGATCGTTTTCAGTGACTTGTAGCTTCGTTTACGTGTAAACCAAAGGCCCATTGGAGCATCACTGTTGTTGCTAAACGTGGCCAAAGTGTAGCCCTGTGATAGACTGGCTACCTGTCCAGGTGTCTCCTGCCTTCACCTGAGTCAGACTCCAGTGACCCTACAGAGGTTTAGTGGTGTACATGGACAGATGTACTCACCCGTAAAACGTCAGCCGGAGGTAACCGATCCTCTTGGCCAGCCGGGACACCTGGCCCTGCTGTGCCGGCGCCCCCTTCAGGTAGACGATGCCGACCCGGCGCAGGGCCAGCAGCCAGGCCAGCGCCGCCTTGTCGTCCTCCAGGACCTCCTGGTAGTCGGCGGTGGGGATGCGCAGCTTGGAGTCCCAGTAATAACGCTCTGGAAGGAGAGGGGAGGGGATGTCACTCCTGTTGGATTTGCATATATATAGTGTTCTCTGTGCGGGGGGGCTGTTTGTCTGACAGGAAGTAATCTGCTCCCACATGAAGCTGCTCAGTCACACAAACAAACCACCGACACAGCTTCCTTTGTTTTATCATGTCATATAGATTTACTTCCTGCAGAACCTCTACGTTCATATTTTAACACACTGAGACCAGGCCGGATGCACACAACACTTCACAACGATAATTATAGTGGGGTTTTTGTTTTTTTTTAACACACCTACACACACTTTGTCGTGTTGTTTTCTGTTCAGCTGGAAACCAGAAGCAGCTGTGAGGAGCTCCGGAGCACCTTCAGGGATTATCTTCATTCTGTTGTGCAACAGGTGAGAACGTGCAGCGCCACGAGACCACGGCTTGTTCTGCACGACAGCTTCACTATGTTTAATGAAATCGTGCAGTTTTACCTTCACAGCAAAAGGCTTTCTCCAGACATCCCATAATACTGACGCTCAGAGTGGGAAGAACTAAAACCAGATTGCAGCTGACTGATGAAGCTACGAGGCTCAGAAATGATGGAAACTAAATTAAAAGCGGTCATACGCCGACTGTGTCTGATTTATGTGTTTTTATCATCAGCTGCTTGATTTATCGTAGATTTGGTGCTGAAATATAAAATAGAATAAAATAAAATATACAAACGAGAAAAAGGTGAACAAAGAAAACGCATCAATCCAGAACACTGAGCTGTAGTTAGTCAGAGTTTACTTTACAGCCGCTGTGTAAACATGCTGTCAGCGCTGTTAAAAGTCATTTTTATCCATTTCTAACCACTGTTTAGTTTTTAGTTAAGTTTATGGTTGTTTTTAGCTGCTGTTTAAGGTATTTTTTAGTTATTTTCAGATGCGTTTAGTCGTTTTACTTTCATTTTCAGTCACTGTTTAAAGCAGTTCTTCGTGGATGTTCAGTTGTTTTCAATCATTACTTTAATTTTTAGTCACTGTTTAAATTAATTTTGAGTCATTTTCAACCACTGTCCAGTTCAAAGTCATTCTAGTTGTTCTCAGTCAGTGGTTAAAGGTGTTTTAAGTTGCTGTTCAAAGTTGTTTTCAGACGCTACTAAAAGTCATTTTTAACCACCGTACATTCAGCTATGTTTATGGTTGAAGGTATTCTTTAGTTGTTCTCAGATGCGTTTAGTCATTTTACCTTTCAGTCACTGTTTAAAGTAGTTTTTAGTTGATGTTCAGAGTCTTTTTCAATCGCTGTTTAGCTTCATTTTCAGTCACTGTT